TCCTGTCAATATTTTTTATGGTTTGTGATTCCATCTATGGAGATGATCAAACTAGTGGGTCATACAGACAGGCTCCCCATTTCTATTTAGAAAAGATGGATTTGCCTGAAATAAGCTTTCATTTCTTTTGCTAGTAACTGTTGCACTGTTTTCTTCCATTTTATTGGAGTTTGTACAGTGCATGAAGCCAGTTAGATCTCTAAATTTTGGGGTTTTTTTTTCAACCAGTAACAGTTGAGGCAGTGGCACCAAATTGTGTTGGTAGTCTATTTATCACTAAGTGCTGAGAAGTGGAATTTTTTTTTCACTTAATGTCCTTGATGAATTAATAAAAACCTTTACATTCTTCATTTTTAAAAAAAAATATTTATTTATGCTTACAGAACTGGGGTAGAGGCCAGAGGTGTGGTGGGTGAGAGGATTCACCAGAGACAGAGAGGGGAACAGAACAGGCAGATCTACTGAAAAATACTGCTGAGGGTTGCAGCAGGTGGGTCAGGAGAGATCTGCCACACCAGGTGGGTCAGTTCCCTGCCCAGGGATGGAACTGCGCTGCAGTGGCTTCAGGGGGGGGCTTCATAGTGTGGTGCTTAAACCCGTTGTGCCACCAGGGAGAGCCCAAAAACATTTACATTCTTAAAGATTATTGAAAAAAAAAAACTTTTTTTGTTTACATGGATCATATCTGTCGATATTATCCACACTAGAAATTTGTGATAGATCTTTAGTGGATTGGTATGTATAGAAAGAAAATCAAAGAAAGGATATTATTAGGAACAGGAAGGCCAGGCTAGGAACTAAGTCTTTGCACCAAAGCTTTGCAGATGTCCTGTCACTGTATTTTTAAACTTTTTAAAAGTGGAGACACAATTTATGTGTAGTAAAAGTGTTCAGATCTTAAGTGTAAAGTCTAGTGAGTTATGATAGAACCATGTAACTCATACTTCATGTAAGCAGAATCACTCAGTATAAATTCTTTTATGTCTTATTTCACTCAATATCACACTACTGCTGCACATTTTCAAGCAGTTAAAAGATTTCATTCAGTGACTACTGACAGTAAAGAAAAGAGCTGAACTCCATTCTGACCTGTACAAACAGGATTTGGCCTTTTAAAAGGAGTGTGAAAGGTGGGGAGAGCAGGTTCTCAGAAGCCTCTCCTGAGTTAGAAAAGTTAAGAATTACAAAAAGAATCACAGTAAATTCACTTAGACCAGCTGCTTTTGCTAGTTATCTAAATTGGGATTCTGTCCTCCCACAGAGTAATCTCAAATGAATGTTTCTGGGGTCCTTGAGAAAGTGTAAGTCTGATAATAAAAAAAAAAAAAAGACACATGTTCACAATTGTAAGCCCTTTTTAGTAGATTCTCTAAGAAAAGGAGGTCAAGGGCCTATCAGATGTTGGGCTGGAACAAACAGTAAGTTCTGGCTACAGTAGGGAGGGTTGGGGACCGGGCTGGTTTCAAGTCTGTTAGTGTAGGGATTTGGGTAGATTTCTGATGCACCAAGAGTTCATCAGTTTTCACTTATGGTTTCTGAGATTCACATTAATGACATTAATGTATCTATCAGTTATTTACTTTAGTTTTAATTGCTGAGTAATTTTTGCATTGTATTCCTCAATTTATCTGGTTTATTATTGATGGACATTTAAGTTTTTTAAGATTAATTTTTACTTATTTATGTACAGAAGAACTGGAGTGTAGGCTGGGGTGAGGGTTGTTAGAGGATTCACCAGAGACGGAGTGGGGAGCAGAACAGGCAGATTGATGAAGTACACTGCTGAGGGGAGCAGTGGATGAGACTAGAGAGGTCTGCTGGGCCATGTGGGTAGTTCTCTGGTCAGGGATGGAACTCATGCTGCAGTGGCTGGTGATAGCTTGATAGTGCTGAGACTTAGTCTCTTGTGCTACCAGGGAGGTCCCAGTTTTTAATATTTAGCAATAAAATTGCTGTGGAAATGCTTATGTATTTTTGTGGATATATGCTTTCATTTTTCTTGGGTTAATTTTTAGAGTCATTTCCTTTTGTTTGTCATCTCTTCTGATCATTGAGCCTCTGAGGGCATTAAGTCCTTAGTAATATTTTAGAGTGAATTACAGATGAATTTGAATCTTGAGTGCCACCAGAAGACTGTTACAATGCAAAGTACACTACGTGGGAATCAAAAACCTCTTTTCTAGTCCTGCCTCTGCCTTTAATCAGCAGTGTAGCCCAAAAAATCACAATCTCTTTGGAGTTCAGGTTGCTTCTATAAGTGAAGGAAACATCAAGTGATATCCAAGACTTCCTTCTGGCCTGACAATTCTATGACCTTAAGTAGGAAAAATTGATAGAAGTCATAATATGAATGAAAACTAGACTCAGAAATATTTAAGCGCAGATCTAATGAGCACTTGCTAAAGTAGCAGTTGAGTGTGAGATTAGAAGAAAACTCATATCCCATAGAGTTTGCTTTCTAACACTTACTGGCCAAAGGTATATCATCATGGAATATTTAAAATGCAAAAAATGACTCTTGTTTAAAAAAGATCCAGTTTTGGGGCCTTCCTGGTGATGCAGGGGGTTAAAATGTAGCACTATGAAACTATCTGCAGCCACTGCAGCACAAGTTCAACCCCCAGCCAGGCAGGTGACCCACATAAAGCAGCAGACTTCTGCCTCACCCGCTGCAGTCAATCCACCTGTTCTGTTCCTTGCTGTGTCTCTGGTGAATCCTCTCACCCACTACTTCGTGCTGCGCCTCTAGCCTGTATCCCAGCTCTTGTATGCATGAATAAGTAAAAAATAAAAGCGATCCTGTTTTATAGGATTTGACTAGCTGTTCATGAAAATGTGAGATAAAGAAATTTTGATGACATAGTTTCTAGAACTTTGAACATTAACACTATGACTATTTAAAAAGACATTGATTTGTTTTGTTGAGGAATGGCATTTCAGAAAATACATATATCTAATATGTATTAGATACGTTTTAGTTCATATAGAAGACATTGGTCCTGCTGCCTACCATAAATTGTCATTTGTTCAAATATAAATTTTGGCTTTAAAAACATTGTTTAATAAAGCAATTTTGGTTGTATAAAGGATTGCAAAGATGGGGTCTACCCCACTTTTCTTGCTCTTCAGGGATGATGTTCCTAATAATGAGTGAAATCATGTTGTGATTTGTGAGTCAAGTTTAATGACTTACAAGAGTTTTCCCCTCTTTCTCTCAGATTTGGATCATACAGCAGATGTCCAGTGAGTATAATTCGAGTTTATCCCTTTGAAACTGTGTCCTTAAACAGGAAGGCTGATTTTTTTTTTTTTAAATGTTGATGCTCCTAGTGTTCAGCTTTTATTTTGACTCTTTGAAAACATGAAAAAGATGACTTAAAAGCATCCAATTTCAGTGCTGTTAGTTTTAATCACGGTGGTTTTCTTTTGATGTCATTGTCAAGTTTTCTCCCTCGCAGCCATTTCTATTATGCAGGACATGAATGTGTTTCTGTAGGTTACATGCGTGGGGAGATACACTGGAGGAAGCATTTGAGCAGTGTGCGATGGCCATGTTTGGTTACATGACGGACACTGGCACTGTGGAGCCCCTGCAGACAGTGGAAGTAGAAACTGAAGGTAACCGGTTTATTCACAGTTGAAGATCTTGTCACGCACATGCTCAGTGTCCTGTGGAATTACATATTAAGAAAAGCAAAATTGATTATGAGCCTCTTCTTCTTTCAGCTAGCTTAAAAAATTCATTGCATTTTTAAGTTCAGCAAGATTTTAGAGATGGGTGATTAAACATCAAGTTGTTACGGTTCTTGATCCCGTGTAGGAGATGACTTACAGTCTCTTCTGTTCCACTTTTTGGATGAGTGGCTTTACAAGTTCAGTGCTGATGACTTCTTTATACCCCGGGTAAGCGAGAATTTTTCTTTTTATTCAGCAATATTTTCTAGGTTCCTATTTTATTTTTAAAGATTTATTTATTTATGCATGTAAGAACTGGGGTACAGGCCAGAGGTGAGAGGATTCACCAGAGACAGAGTGGGGAGCAGAACAGGCAGGTTGATGGAAGTACACTGATGAGGGGAACTGTGGACGAGACAGGAGAGGTCTGTTGTACCATGTGGGTCACCTCCCTGGCCAGGGATCAAACTTGTGCGGCAGTGGCTGCAGATAGCTTCATAGTGCTACGTTTAACCCATTGTACCAACAGGGAGGG